GATGGTGCTCTTATGTATACATTTAAAACATACAGCTTCATACCAACCCTCCTTTCCTCTTATCAGTCATACTGATCCGTATCTGTTTGGTGCTGGCCATAGTGAACATCTATTAGTAGGATCTCTGGTTTATGGTTATTTTTTCTCTCCTTTTTTAACCCACATTTTTAAAAAGTGAATTTAGCCTTTCTGAAAGATGCTTGTCTGACAGCTCTCCAGAGTGCAGTCTTCTATTTACTGGACTTCTACAACAGGTACATATAGGAAGCAATGCAAACTTCCTTACACAGCAGCAGAAATGTGCACTGCTTTACTTATCCCCACAGCTAAGAGTTAGATAGATGGTAGTTTGGTTTTCGTTATCATTTAATTCTTGACCTTTCTGATGAGGAAGGGTGCCCAATTACTGGGTGCAAATTGTTGCAAAGGAATGGTGCCAATCATGGTGATTTTATGATATCCATAGCTGTCCACTTGGAACAGGGCAGACATCTCCACTATTTCACATAGCCCTGTAAACAACCATGATATAATACCTATATTTGATCACTGCTGAACTAGGCCAGGTACAATGAAGCCTCCGTGTTCCATTATCGGTGTTTTTAGCCATTCAGTCCCTCCTATTATTACATTTTTCACATTCAAAGGCTGACTATTTGGAGGCCTTGCAGGTTAAAATGATCTGCCAGTCATTAAATCATTAATTACTGCCATGCTGACTTGTGTTCCTCCAGCAAAACAGTGATGTCATGTCAGCCATCCTGCATTAGCTAAAGTTGTGATGTCCTTATTGGCAGTATCCTCTTCCGACAGTAATGACATGACCATTTGACAACTTCCTACAATTATCCAAGTATTCTAATTCTTGACCATCTCAAGGGGTGCGTTGTATTCCTGAAATGCCAGCACAAACCCCATGCTCTATATAAATCCCACTTAATCTCTCAAAATAGGTCTTCAGTTAGACTTAAGTGGTATATAGGCCTGGTGCTGGCCCTTTGCACAGGGTAAATTTCACCCTCAGTACACAGGACTGGATTAGTACTCTGCAATGTGTTCTGAGTAAAGGGCGGTTTGTAGTTGCCCTGTTCCAGGGGAGTCACAAATCAGTCCCTGTTTCTGCCATGTTCCATTGGGGAAATAAACTGAGCCAACCCCTTTCCTGATCCAGTTTACATGCCTCTCCAGGTCAGCTCAGTGCTGGCCTTGCAAGTTTGGGCAGGGAGGTTCTGTGCACTGCCCCCTCCCCGAGTGCCGACTTTGCAGCTCCCATTGGCCGGGAAGAACGACCAATGGGAACTGTGAGGGTGGCGCCTGCGAGCGTGAGGGCAGTGCGGGGAGCCACCCTGGCCACCCATGTGCCTAGGGGCTGCAGGGACCTGGCAGCTGCTTCCTGGGACCTGTGGTAAGCGCCGCCTGAAGCCCGCACCCCAACCCCCTGCCCCAGCCTGGAGCCCCTTCCTGCACCCCAAACCCTTCATCCCTGGCCCCACTCCAGAGCCCACACCTTCAGCTGGAGCCTGCACCCCTCCCGCACTCTGAACCTCTCGGCCCCTGCCCAGAACCCACTCCAGCACCCCAAACCCCTCATCCCCAGCCCCACCCCAGAGTCCACACTCCCAGCCAGAGCCCTTACACCCCTTCTGCACCCCAAACCCCTGCCCCAGTCCAGTGAAAGTGGGGGTGGGGTACAGCGAGTGATGGAGGGAGGGGGGATGGAGTGAGCAGGGCTGGGGCCTCGGAGAAGGGACGGGGCAGGGATAGTGGTGTTCGGTTTTGTGCCATTAGAAAATTGGCAACTCTACCCTCCATCCCAACCCTCCCAGCATGAAAGCATGGTGCTAGCCCATGCGGGGCCCTAAGCAGGAATATTTTGGGGTCCCCCCATACCACATAATAAAAAGCAAATAGGAGTCCCCCTTGAGCTACTCAGGACCATAAGCAATTGTTTAATTTTCTTATGCTTAGCTTTGGCCCTGCATGAAGGTTTTTGTATTGCTTTATGTTTTCACTTTATAAATGAATAAAACAACTCAATTGATAAATATTAACATAACGCATATTGCTGTGGCAACTCAGCACTTGACACAAAAAATTAAAAACAAATTACATAAACCACCCACAGTGGGGAGCTTTACTGGAGAGAAATCTACTGCTGCTCATGCCAGAAGAACAGATTGTCTAGAATCAAAACAAAACCAAAAACAGTCCCACGTTGAACAAAATAAAATAAATACACCTGGGTCTCTCTTTGGAACCGATGATGAAGCTTTGATGACCCTGCAATGTGTACTGGAAATGGGGGAGATCATGCCAAATGAGAATGGGTCTACCAGGGCCGGCATCAGTTACTTACAATACTTGAAGCTCACATCATCCCCTGATACTCAGAATGGGATTGCCAGCGATCCCCAGATTCATGGGACAGGCTGTTTTTTCCACAGGTCTTCCCCTCAAGTGTAGATTTCAGGACAAATCAAAAAGTGCGTTGTAATGATGTTCCATCTGATGCAGTATCACAGCACAATGGAATTTTGTCCCTATGGGACAGCTTTGGCACTACACAATAACATCATCACTAGTAACTGACATCATGTCATCACATGTCATTGTGAATGTTGTGGACAGGAGGGGGTTGGGAAGAGTCCCTAGATCTTGATGCCAGCCCCGGCAGTTAGTAAATAGTGAAAAGTTTTTGATTGACTTTACCTTCGCTATGCAAGGTAATAATTACTTGACGATTCTAATGTTCTTCAGATCAACGGAGTCACACAGTTTATTCTCAGACACGTCACAATTTCTCATGTCTACGGGTGCATAACCTTTAATGTACAAATGAACTTGAGACGTCACCCAGATTACACTAAACTTTCAACATGAAACAATTGTTTCTGTTGTTCTAGTGTTATAACCAATACTCTGCCATTAAGATTACTTGGTGCTAAGTCGCATGCACATTGCATTAAAAAACCTTTTATGGCTGAGTGCCTTACTTGTGTACAGTGTGCTTTGCATATTAGCCGCTCCCCTGTGTATTTTACAGTTTCTAGAGATATACTTTTAGGCATGTAACTTTCTGACTGAGACAAAACTGTAACCCAATGATTAGGGAGTGCTCTTTGGCCTTTGTGTACTGGTGCTGAGCTGTGCCTGGCAATTTTATGTAGTATATACTTAAGCACAGGGTACAGACTTGGTCATGCATAATTTAATTTATTAAAGTTAAAATATACATTAGACCTCATGCCCTCTGAAGCAGGAAACCAGTAATTTAATTTAAAATTAATTTGCTATGAAAGCAGAAAGACATTTGAAAGGACCGATACAAACTTGACATTCTGAGAACATTTGTATGAAAAGCAATTTACTTAACCAACCACTCTCCTTTTCTCCAGTGTTATTTCAGATAGTTATAGTTTTAATAAGAGATTTTTTTCCCCCCTCACACCTCTTCTGCTGCCTTCTCCAGTGAGGTAGCTGTAGACTCAAGGAAGGTGGGGTATGACTTGTGGGGAAGGAGGGGACAGAGAAACTTGTTTAAAACATTATTGTTAAAATCCAGTTACACTTGTAATTTTTTTCTCAGCATGAAAGTCCCTCTTTAAGTATTTCAGCATAAGTCTTTGAAATCATCTTGAGCTTTATTAATATTTTAGTAGCAGCAGCAGTAATGACATAAAGTATGGTAATACTTTGTTAAGCTATTGGAGTTACAGGCTAGATTCTCAGCTGGTGTAAATCAGTGGAGCTATGCTGATTTATACATATCTAGCCTTACAAATGTAGGATCCAGTCCTACAAACGCAATCAGGCATAATTCTTAGTACTCTGAGTAATATAGAATTCAGCAATAGTAATCATCACACCTGCTAATGAGTGTCAGAATTTAAGGGCACTACTTGTAGTAGTAAGAACTACGCCAAGTAGTAACTATTGGCAGAATATGGCATTGGGTTTCATTCAGAATTGGGGCTCTGATTAAGCAGTCCATCCCTGTTCAGCAAAGCATCTGAGTGTGTATGTAACATTAAGCATTTGGTTTTACTGGGCTCCAGAATGTACTTAAATGCTTTGCTGAATAGGGGTAGACTTAGTTCATGAATTGGGGCCTATGTAGAAACAACGAGAATGGAAAGCTGGCCATAATGCGAGAAGGTTATGCTTCCCCATCATCTGCTTTAAGATTGTTTTATCTTTTTCGATGTTCTGTGGGTTTCCTTCCTCTTAAATTTGTATCTTTCCTTCTTTTCATGTGGTTTTCTTTCGACCATTAAGTACAGATGTGTACGGTACTATAGGATGTTGCAGGCTTACCTACCTCCGGTGCTTATGCTAAGGCTGTCTAGCATTTTTGTCAGTAAAACTTTTGTCGGTCAAGGGTATGAAAAAACACACCCCTGACCAACATAAGTTTCACCGCAAAAGTGCCGGTGTGGACAGCGCTATGCCAACATAGCTACTGCTGCTTGTTGGGGGTGTTTTAATTATGCCGACAGGAGAGCTCTCCCCCATCTGCATAGAGCGGTCACATGGGAGCCCTTACAGCATCACAGCTGCAGCGGTACAGCTGTGCCCCTTTAAGGTCTGTAGTGTAGACATAGCCTAAGTACCGCTGCCTGATTTTGTGACTGCAGATTGCATCTCTCGATTATTTGGCTGAACTGAAATCACCTCTTTGTGTTGTTTTCGGTCACTGGAGACCAATTCTCTCACAAAAAATAGAGATGAAAATGGACAAGATTGCAGGACGATTCCTCCCTCTAACAGCAATGCCTGAGAAGAAGGCTACTCCCACTTTTTTTTTACAGCAAAGCATCTTAACATATACAATTGCTAAGCCTGAAAAGTTACAGCATAAGCATGTGTAATCTTGTTGCTTGCCATTTTGCCTTAAAGAGTCATCCCTCAGTAAGTATAGTTCTAGCTGAGGAGTTCTGCTTAAGAAATAAAAGCATGCTGCCAAAGAACAAGAAAATAAACATATCTAGGATTATCTCCAGCAGGAAAAACAGCTGCAACTAAAGGGGCAGCAATGCAAAAGCCCAGGAGTCCGGAGTCAGACCTCTGAGATTTGTGAAGAGTTAAGTGAGTTGTACGTGGATAAGCAATTGAAGGCTGAGCTGTCACCAGCACCACCACCACCACCACCACTACTAGGGCAAAAAGAGGTAACAGAAACAACTTTCCTACCTGATATTGCATGCAATCAGTAGACCAAGATAATAGTGCATGCGATAGAGGTTAAGGTGGGTTTATTTGGTTTGAAAAAACAAAGAACCTCTCCAATGGCAAGGAAGAAATAATAGGTAGTAGCTTTGGTAGCCTTTATAAAGGAGCAGAGGTTCTTTATAAAAACACCGAAGAACTTGGAAAATGCATTAAAAATAAAAATATTTGCAACTGGTATCCAAGTGGTATCAAGAAATGCAACCATAGAAGAAACTGTAATGTTACCGTCTGTGGCTTTAGGATCTGAGGTGCATGTTATTCCCTTCTGAAAAGTGACTATGTAAACAAAGAGCTGTTTCTTGGATGCAGTCAGAGCCATGTCTGCTGATTTCATTGGATTAAAATAAGTTTTTGTTCCTTTTTAGCACTGCAGAGCCAACACACAGCTATGAGAATTAAAGCACCTAATGCACAAATAATAAATAAATAGTAATCCCTGGTGTAATTCAGTTGGTGTCAGCTAAAGTATGGATTTCCAACTGCCTCTCAGACTTCTCTGGGAGGTATGCATATTATTTCATGAGTTTGGTAGAATTACTGTGGTATTGCACAAAGTTTGACAGTCAATAACAGAACAAAAATACTGACAAATTGTTTCACTACACTAGGTGACACCAGTGCTTTAAAGTCCAATTATGCTGCTTACCTATTTGCTTTTTTCCCAAAAGAATTTAACATCTGATAGATAAATCTGTAGACAGAGATTGGTGTTGTGTTCTGTTTGAAATCTGGAATTCCACGTTTTGAGATGTATTATTTTTGTAGTTCTCATGTTGTTTGAAGGTAGGGACCACTAGAGTTCCGTGGGAACTGAACTGGAGGAAGGGAAAGAAGGTTGTTCAAAGAGGCACAATTTTAAGGTCCATGCATGCAAAAATGACTATTCCCCACCCCCAACATAAAATACTTAGAGTCTGAACCCTGCAAAGGTCACAGGGAGGGATTTCTGTGGTATTCCAGGAGGCATGGAACATTCACTGAGCCAGTTCATCCTTTCTATACACATTGATTCTTACTTGTAATACTGTGACTAGAAAATTCACTAGCCATAAAAACATTTAAATTAGAGATATTTACACTGGTTTAGTTAGAATAATTCTCAGTTTTTCATTTGAACCCTTGTCCCCAGATTAAAAGGGCCCTGAATTTAAAAAGAGGGAGACTCAGAAACAATTGATATTCCAGCCTCAGGAAAAAATACATTCTAAAGGATGTAAGATCACAAGCTAATAAGATCTAGAGATACCATTGGCTGAAGATGTAAGTCCATCTCTGGAATTGTTTGGTGTAAGGAGTGAAGCCTTCTGCATGTCACCTAATAGTGAGGAGAACCTAATTTCAGGTTTACATTGTTAGTCTGTTGTTTTTTCTGCCCCCCCCCTTCCTAAACTGTAAATTTTAATTTCTCTACAGAGAGAAAAACTTGCACTAAAGCAGGAAATTGGAAAATTATGTCCTTTGTTAATTTTGGAATGAAATGCTATGATTCTACAGGAATATTCTAGCTGTGATATATTCAACAACATGGTGATAAAACAATAATCCCCATTTCCTCCCTCACCTTTAAATGGGTCCCAGAATACAAATGCCATCTTCATCTAGTAAAATACAACTGTTTCTATTTGTGGCTGCTCAAAGAGGTGGCGAAACGTGGCAGTATTCCCTGGAACACTGGAAACCAAACGGAAGTTCACATCAGGCTGTGAATTCCAGCATTAAAGAGTAAAGCCCAAAGGATGCTATTTTTGAAGGTCGGAGTCTGCATGGACATTAAATGCCTAGAGTCCTACTCTTCACAAATAATCTCTGTGAGGTCTCATAGGGCAAATAAGGACAAGTTGATCTATTTGATAAATGTCCTAGGAACTTGTGAGTAGCCATATAAAGTAAATAATTGTTAGGAAGTCTCTTAACAGATTTGTTAGGCCCAAGAGAGAGGATTTTCAGTGATTCATTCAGTAAGAGGAAGTCATAAGAAGCATTGAATGTGTTGGGAATAAAACAATGTTGATGTCAGTAAAGAATAAATTATATGATTAAAAATTCATCTCATATGAACTGTCAGAGGCATTTGAGAAATAGAATCATTGATGTTGGAGATGGAAAAGACCTGTTAGGATGATCCAATTCATCTTCCCTATTGAATATTGTCCCATCTATCTTTAAATGTCTCAAGCAACTGGGATTTCACCATTTCCCAAAGAAGACTATTCCCCAGCCTAATAGATCTCATTGGCAGGAATGTTTTCCTGATAACTAGCCTAAATTTTGCCTTTCTGAATTTCATCTCATTATTCATTTCTACTATCATAAATCATTCCTATTCTTTCATGAATTAATACTTTTTAAATTTTAGAATACTCTTATAATCTCTCCCCCCCCCATTTAGTCTACACTTAACTAAGCTACACATATTAATCCTCTTGTTTAATCATTCCTCCAACCAAGCCCTCCATCCCACTAGTCATTTTTCTTGTTTTTCTTTCAACTCCTTATTTATCTAATTTTGGTGTTGAGATACGCAGAACTAACACAGTACTCCAGGTATAGGAACCCAACATCTGCATAGAGAATAAATATTACCTCTGATGTTAAGACATGATGCTCTGTGTATGCAGTCCAAAACCACATAGGTCTTCTGCATTGCTATATCCCGCTGTAAATTCATGTCTAATTCGCTTTCCGCTGTTACTGCAGGTGTGTCTTGGAGTCACAGGGGTCCATGTTTCTCCTTTCCACTGAATGTCTGTGCTTCAGTTATCTTTTCCCTGGATGTACTGGTTTGTACTTTTCCAAGACCAGCCCTCATTTTCCATCAATGTTTCTAATCTCTCTTCCTCTGTCCTTGCTGCAGGTCACCACTCCTCCCAGTTTAATATAATCTAGTAATTTTACTGTTCAGTCCCTCTTCTACATCATTCACAAAGATAAGACTGGACCTAACACTGATCCCTGGAGTAAACCACTATATACCTCCTCTTTCCTAGTTGCCGTTTGTCACTATCTTATGTTTATGGTCCTTCAGATATCTGTCAATTAATTTGACAGTGGTTGAATTCAAGGTAATTAGAATTAATGTTAAGAGTAGACTTTCGTGTGACACTGAATCAGATGTTTTACTAAGATTCATGTGTTGTATCTGCCATTTTCCTGCCATCCCCTAATTTTGTGAAATAAGACGGGGATTTCAGGATACCCATCAACTTTCAATGGGAGTTGGGCATCCTGACACCCTGGAAGAACTTGCATTTTGGCACCCCAGCCGCTGCTGCCTCCCTGGGCTACCCACCCACCACCCCTGATTCCTGCTGCCTGCCCCAGCCCCCACCCCCCCACCCCAGGTCATCTCTCCCTGTTCCCTGGGCCCACTGCCTCCCGGGCTCCCCCTCAAATTGCCCTGAGCTTCCTTCCGTGGCCTCCCACCCCAGACTTGCCCCATTCCTTGTCTCTTGACTATGGTGCCCCTTGACCACAGTGCCCTGAGCAGTTGCCTTAGCTGACGCAGGCTCATGAGACTCTGGCTGCAGGGCTGTAAAACTGCTGTGTAGTTGTTTGGGCTCTGGCAGGAGCCTGGACTCTAGGATCCTCCCCGCTCATGGGATCCCAGAGCTCAGGCTCGAGCCCGAGAGCCTGAACATCTACACAGCCATTTTTAGCCCCACAGCCCAAGTCCTGCCAGCCAAAGTCAACTGACCCACGGCCGTGCCACAGGTCTTTTATTCCAATGTAGATATATCTCTAGTGGCCTTTAGGGGAGACCTTACACCAGTGGAAGATCTGGCATAGCAGAGTTCTGTTCTGGCAAATCTCCTCCATTCATGCCCTGCCCCTGACATGCCCTCTCTTTCTCCTTATGCCAGGGCAGCTGGCATAGGAGGTGACAGCTATCCCAGCGGTATGCCAGTAAAGAGAATTCCCCTGCCCAAAGCCATTTTACCATGCTGTGGTGCACAGTGGCCTTGATGGTCTAGAGAATCCACCCTTAAGCCTTTATAAATCTATCTACAGTCCATAGTTCCATTATCCCCTAGGAGTTTACTGATTTTGTTCTCTTAATATTTATTCCATTACTTTAATAAAGATCTACAAACAAAGACTTAATGAATAGCAATTGCCGGGATCATTCTCCTTTCCTTTCTTCAAAGTGCAGGACTATATTTGCTGGTGTGTAGTCTTCTGGTCTCTTCCCACTTTTCCATGAATGTTCAGTAATGATTGTCAGTGGTATGTTAATTTTGTCAATTCCCTTTGTCCCCTAGAATGTATATTGTCTGAACCTGCAGATTCATGTATATTCAGATGTTCTCAGTTTGTCTTTACTTGCACTTTAACATATATTATTTTTACATGATCTTCCTCACTTCTTACTAGGCCAGACTTTTGTTATTTTTCATGTTGAACATAGATTTTGAAAAGGAGATAATTATCTTCATCATATTTGAGTTGTCATTAATGACATCTCCTTCATCAAATGTTACTTTGTCTCTAGAAAATATCTTTCCCACCTTATTCCTTTTAGCTAGACGAGTCAGAATTTTTCATCAAAATGATTTTTTGATGAAAAATACCATTTTGGCAATATTGAAATGTTTAGAAAAGCATGTTGATTTTTGGGTCCTGGTACCAAACTGAGTCTGTTCTCGCCATCTGACACTTTCTCTCTACTGATAGGAAGTACATCCAAAATGGTTTCTCTTCTAGTTGGAGTTTCTACTTTTTTTTTATCATAAAGTTGTCTTGTAGTGTATGTAACTTAGGAAGCGTTTTAACAATCCATGTTTGGCTGTGTTTATAACCCAACTGGTAAATGGCCAAATAAAATCCCTCGTGAATGGGTATCCACTGGTTCTGACTGCGCTGAAAGTTGGCCCAGCTTTTTTTTCATTCTTGTTCTCATCTAGTCTTGGTAGTCTCTAGACAGTGAGCCACTCTCATATTTTCATTCTGAATAGGGATTTTTAGAAGCTTTGCCCAATTAAGTCTGTGATTAACTTTATTTTTGCCCTCTCTCTTGAAATGATATTTTTCTGCTTTTTAATTATTTGTAACCCTTTTTCACAGAGAATTCAGAGAATTGTAAACCCTGTCCAAGACCTCTGGGTTGTTGTAATGAATTGCAGATGAATAGGTTTCGTCCCACTTTGTAAGCATTTCTGGAGTGATCAATTTGGTCCACTTTAATATAACTTTAGCTTCTGCTTTAATGTGGCTGTAGATTTTACATGGACTGTGTACATTGGAAAGCAGAAGGCTCATTTTCACATTAATAATAAGTATTAAAGTTTTAGTTGTTCTTTAACTGCATCATCATCCTCATTAAAAATATTTTGCATACACATGCCACCTTTCACCTGAGTATCTCAAAGTATTTTACAAGCATGGGTAAGTATTATTATCTCATCTTGTGGATGGACGTAATAGTATTACAAACTGAGGCTCAAATAAATTCAATGGTTTATTAGAAATTACAGAGTGAGTCACTGAATGAATAACCTATGCCTCCTGACAGTTATTGTTTTGTATTATTGTATTGCCTAGTAGACCCTAGCCAGCATTGGAGCTCCACTGTGACAGGCACTATTACAACACATCATATGACACACTCTGCCCTTAAGAGTTTATAATCTAAACAGACAAGACAGGCGATGCTTCAGGAAAAGGGATTAATATACCCATTTTACAGATGAGGAACTGATATGTAGAGAGAGGCAGTGTCATCTTGGGCAAGTTTCTGAAAGTCCCAGACCCAGGAATGAAACCAGATCTTCTAATCAAGTACCTTCACCACTAGACCACATTTCCTCATAATAGGGTCGCATGCTCTGTTCCAGTGCATGAGGTCTGAGGAAAGGACATATGCCACACAAAAATTGCTAGGGGTTCTCCCATGCTACATCTCAAGATATGATTATGTTACAAAAGAGAGCTTTATTTTAATGAATAGGTAAAGTTTTAAAATAATACCTCTCAAGTTTTATCTTATGAATAATTTTGTTGTAGATAACATGGTGATGGGCTGACAATAAACACACAGAGGAACAGGTAGAATTATTATCACAGATGATGGACGCTATATACAATGCATGGCAGTTTTTTCCTTTGTTATAATTCTTTGCTGAGATATTGTTCAGCTGAATTCAAAACACAGCAGCTTCCTTAAGGGAAAATTGATCAATTTGTTTTCCTCATCTTTGCCCCTGTTGCCCACAAGCTTGATGAAATCAGTCTCTCTGAAGGCAGCACAGTGGATTTGGGAAATTCTGCAGAGCTACTGGAACAGATCCCCGAGCTGGCTGATGATTTAATGGAACCTGAGAACTGTTTTCCAGAAGGTAAGGACCTGCTTACTTCACTGTGATTGTAAAGTGTAAAACATGTCTCCACATTAACACCAAGGTGTTCTGGCTACTTGCATTAGTATTTCACTGATGTACTTCATTTCACAGATACTGTTATGCTCCACACACATACGCAATAGGCAGCAGTTACTTGTTAACATTTGTCTGTGAATTTCTAAAGCCTGATAAGACTGGAAGCCTAAATTGCTGCATAGCTTTTAGCTTGATAGGCTTTTTGCATCATACTTTGTGCTGTGCAGCTTATTTTATGAAGTTGTTTTGACCTGGCTTTGTATCTTCAAAGACGTGTGTGTGCTCAGAATTGGTACAGAACTAATCTGAGCTCACTGGAAGGTAATGGGTTAGTAGATACCACCTAGAAAGTTCATGATTCCCAGGGATTGATTTGTATTTATTTTCCTGGCTGCTCCTTACTGTTGTTTGAAAGTAACTAAAATGTATTGTAAAAGACATTAAGATTAGCATGCTCACTAACTTTGATCTGACAGATGGTATGATACAAACAGGGCATTCAAGTAAATTATAGTAGATAGTATCCTAATGCTTTTATGTATCCATCTTTAATATCAAAATATGCCAGCATTTTACCAATTTAAACTCCACCCATCACTGAAATGCAGGGATAAAGCACAACAACTGTATTGAGAGCCCTTAGCTTTAGCTAAATCCTTGAGGGAAATGTCTCTCAAATGCGGTTTCTTCTCAAAGTGAGTTTCTATTCCAATTGATTTTTCAATTAGATTCCACAGTTCCATTAGTTCTTTGTGGGGGAAAGACAGTTAGGTGAATTTTAGTTAATCAATGAGTTATATTCCCTTGAAAATTCAAGGAGTATTATACTCCGAAACAGGGCAGCTCAGATGGGATCAGACAGGGATAATTCCCAGGGTATTTGAGAGCATGTGAAATCAGCAAAAATGTGTGTCTGAGTGTGAGAGAGATGATTGAATGAGGTAAGGGAGCCCTGCAGGGCTTACAAACGTCTCTAGGACCTAAATATTTTCTTGGCAGCTCTGCTTAAAAGCAATAGTCAAAGAGTAATGCAGTTAAGTGAAGATAGCATGTACTATGCTGCAGCTATTCCAGTCAATACAATAGATTAGATGTGGTGTTTCCATTCTCTCATAATAGACTTCTTATTGCAGCGAGTGAGCAGTGAGCCCTATTGCTTACTGTAAAGTTGCAATTATAATGGCACACAAAAATCCTACATTAAAAGAACATTATTACAGTTGCAAAATCAAGCACTCAAAAGTTAGGGGTGCCAAAATTAAGGTTCATGGTACAGTCTTTAATTAGAAGCTAATTCATGGCCATGAAAAACGCGCCATGGACCGTGAAATCTGGTCTCCCTCCATGAAGACTGGTCTTTTGTATGCTTTTACCCTATACTGTGCAGATTTCAAAGGGGGGAACAGCATTTCTCAAATTGGGGATTCTGACCCAAAAGAGAATTGCAGAGGGGTCAGAAGGTTATTTTAGCAGGGTCGTGGTATTGCCACCCTTACTTCTGTGCTGCCTTCAGAACTGGGTAGCTGGAGAGTGGCATCCATTGGCCAGGGGCCCAGTTCTGAAGGCAGCACTCCACCAGCAGCAGCACAGAAGGTTGGCAATACCATACTATGCCACCCTTACTTCTGCGCTGTTGCCTTCAGAGCTGGGCGACTGGAGAGTGGCGGTTGCTGACTGAGGGCCCAGCTCTGCAGGCAGCAGCGCAGAAGTAAGGGTGGCAATACCATACCAGGCCATACTTACTTCTGCGCTGCTGCTGGTGGCGTCTCTGCCTTCAGAGCTGGGATCCCCGCCAGCAGCCGCCACTCTCCAGCTGCCCAGCTCTGAAGGCAGCGCCGTTGCCAGGAGCAGCTCAGAAGTAAGAGTAGCAGTACTGCAAACCCCCCCCCCCCCAACAACCTTGTGACCCCTCCCCCCAACTCGTTTTTGGGTCAGGATCCCTACAATTATAACACCATGAAATTTCAGATTTAAATAGCTGAAATCATGAAATTTATTATTTTTAAAATCTTATGACCATGAAATTCACCAAAATGGACCGTGAATTTGGTAGGGCCCTAAAGATAACTATACAAAATATTTTTTCCAGCGGACCCCTGCTTCATTCAGTAAATTAGTAATTATTTAATATTTCACCATCCTTTCTCCTCCTGAAGTTCCCAGCCTCATTAACTATACATCTTCTAACATCTGCAACAAATTAGGCAGGGATGTACAAACAGCCACCTCTTTACTACACAACCCTGATTCTGAGAGCACTGTCCCTCAATATCATTAACAATTCTTAAAAAAAAAAAAAAAAAAAACAAGAAATCCTTTCATATGGAATCATATAGCTCCACTCAGGTCATCAGCTCGTTTTGAACCTTTAGATCCACCACACAGACCTCTGCCACTTAAGCTAACACAGTAACTGGTAGCAATAGTAAGCTGTTATCTGCTCTGTGGACCAGCACTAGAAGAGGATGAGAGACAGGCTTTGCCAGTTGTGAAACCACTATATGCTGTCCGCAGATGAATGTAGAATGTTGACCAAAACTATCTGTGAATTTGATATGACTATTTAAATTTGAACAAGAGAGGATCCCTGCAGAATACCCTACAGCTCAGAAGTTGGGGCATTCAGCTTCAGCATGCCAGACACAAGTTCGAATCCCTCCTCTTCATTAGGCAGAGGGGGAATTGAACTGTTTTGTTTCATCAAGAAAACCAAAAAAATTGTGATTTGGTTCAGTCCAAAATAATTTTTTTTTCTTCAGCCAGTGGGCCATTCTTACGGCCAGTTAATGTGAAAGCAGCATCCACTCAGTGCCAGCTATTTTGGCATTTTTTCCTCCAGATACATTGCAACATTATGGTGCTGTTACTTCCACTGGAACGTGTTCTCTCTGCATTGCTAACAGCATTGCAACTGCTGCATTATCTTCTGTGCCTCAGAGAAGGTCATTCAAAGATAACCATTGGTCTGAGTTTTCTCCTTACTCCAAGTCTAAGAGGGGAGCAATTTCTCTTTGAGCACCTTCACATGTAAATTTCCCAGCTACCGACTCTTTAAACTTAGCAGTAGGCTCAAAAAAATCTTCAGAGGAATTGCTGGAGTGGATGCCTTGCTCAGCAAGCACTTAGTACCAACTAACAATATCTCCGTTTTGTTTTGCTTAAATAATAAACTTCCATGAAAGTATATGACATCCACAACCTGATGTTTCAGAAACAATTAGAGTAGATATCATAGCTGGATAATTCAGTGGCAAGGTGAAATAAATCTGAATATCATCTGAATAGCAATGAAAACTCAAGTCACAATCCCTAATAATTGCAGCTAGTGGCAATTTTTAAATACAAAAGAGAAAAGGGGCCTCAGATACATCCCTGAAAAACACTGCAGCACAAATCTTAAACTGGCCCATCAAGACTGTCACCAGATGATGTTTCAAGTATGATTAAAACCAAGCCAAGGCCAACAAAAGACTCTGAACATGCCAACAGGATACAGTGATTAACAGCGTCAAATATTCCCAGGTCCAAAGAAACTAGAATAGAAAGAGACCTGGATAGGTTGCATTCAGTTGACTGTTGGGTGCCTTCCACACAACAATCTTTGTGTTATGGTGCAGTCTTAAATCTGGAAGAGAAAAAGTTAGTAGTTGACTTTGAATCAGATGGAAAGCACCAGATTTGAGAGTGGGCTGAAGTCAGACATCTCCTCAGCTACTGAAATTGGCTTCTCCCACATAGGCCTTATTATTATAATATGTTTAAAATGTGATGGAACAATTCAAAATTAAATGGATACATTCACAACCTTTTATTTTTAAATGCCCTCCAAGAACGGAATAGGGGTGTAGGGAATCCGTAGTCTGCAAAACCATTTGCACTGAACCATATGGGTAAATTGTGGCTTTGTAACAAGCCCATGTATGCATTATCCTAAGAGCAGATTGGGACACAGATTGTGATTTAGAGACACTTTTCCTGGATTTGGGGGTGGAGAGGAAATTACCCTGTGCCAGCCACTGTCTGGCACAGCCTACAGGCCCGGATGTGCTAGTACAGCTGTGCTAGCCAGTGTATTTATTGAGCAACGACTCCCCCCAGTCCTGTCCACATGCATGGGAGGGAGAACATAGTGGATCTCTGCAGACAATTGAGAGTGCCTTGTACCCCACCTCTTCTCCTGCACAGATGCGCAGGACTGGCCATAATCTGGCCCATAGCAACGCTGCTTGGAAAAAATATGTTATCGCAGAGTTCTAAGTATATGACTATAGGAGTTTATACTTTGGGGGAGTTCTCTGGCCTATGTTGTACTTGAGGTGTGATTAGATTATGACAATGATCCCTTCCGACCTTGGAATCTATGAATCAGTGAATCGCATCAATACTGGTACATCCTTACGTGTTCTACAGCAGCCCAAACGTCTTCCTCAAATATAGTCAACTTTTATTGGGTTGAAAAGTGAGTGTAATTAGGACCTTATGCCAAAAGATAACTACAAAATGGCTTTAATTTAAATAAATCAATAACCAAATATATTCTACCAAATATTACTCAAGTGCAGATTATTCTGTGCCATGTCATGCAAGAAATTAATCTGTTTTCTTTATTTACAACAGATAATCAGCATCCCAGTCCAACGGATGCAGTTTTGACTGTTCTATTTCTATTTAAAAGTATTTCTGGGTATTAAATAACTGTGGATTTTTGACAAAGGGTCTACAGAAAGCCTCAGTGTCATTACAAATCAAGTTTTTAGTGTGAACCTCATGCTTGTGTTTTAGCCTCTAAGGTAATATATTAATATAATAAAGCTCACTCTAATGAAGATACTTGTATCAGAATGTACAAAGGTAGTGAGACTGGGTCTGATAGATCCAGAGTTTCTCGTTCCCTTAACAGGAGATTTGCACATTGGAAAACTTGAATGCAAAACAGAGAATATTTACACAAGCTGCACTGG